TGGACCTTAATCATTCAATAACAATCATCTGTCCGATCTAGCTGGAGTCAGATCCCCGGTCAGTAAAATATGACCAAACATGGTTGATAACCAAGAAGATACAGTGGCTTTTACGAAACGATAAACTTAAAGGACTTATCACACCATGAAATGCGATTTTAAATTCAAAAATGTGGTTTATCGATGTATCGATTTCTGCTCGTTTCTTTGTTATTCTGCACTCACTGATCTTCGGTCTTTCCATAACCTTATCTGCAACCGAATAGCTGCGAACTACAACTGTTTCCGTGATTACCATTGAGCGACATAGAGTGATGTGATACAACCAGACTTGGAGGAAAAATTCCTATTGGATTTATTTTTGTAGACCTTGAGGTTGCCCAGTAAAGTCGACTGCCCATAGATACTCTCCTACAATCATTTTTCATTATGGTTAAATTTTGTCAGGCCCCTTTATTAACCTGCTTAGCAGACAATGTTATTAGATCAGTAACAGCTCGCCTATTTCTTTGTACTATTATAATCACTATCTTGTCTGTATAAACATATGCGCTTGATTACACGACAGCCTACATACATATCTCTTTGGCTAAAATGTTAATAACTTAAATATCGCTCGATGTACTATTTTCTTCCCCATACATATATGTGCTCGAATCCTATCAATAGCCTATGTCGTGCCGTTCCCCTGTTCGATTTAACTATAAATTTGCTTCTGTATTTGCTCGCACACATAGATTCACCTCTCCGCTTCAAATTCGCCCAATATGCTTGTAGCCTTGTTACTTGTGCTATCCGCAAATAAACTGTAGTCTCCGCTCCATACTGCCTTCTGATTTGAAACGCCGTTGAGATTTGTATTATAACAGTTATCGAAATGATCGATTAACGTAGCAAAGCCACTACTATATATATATATATATTCGAAAGCTTGATAAAATAGAACTATTCAAACCAGACTTTGAAGATCCTGAAAGAGTGTTCTTCTGTCGTATATGTGTCCATAAGACTTCAATTTAACATCGTGAGGCCTTTTAGTTTACTCAACGGATCTTTGTGGTACTAACGGATAACGTTCTTGGACTCCATGTAGAAGCTCCTACAGAACAGAAAGCTTGGATTGTCGTTGGTATCACAATGGCGATGACAAGTATTTTGGAGCTGTAGAAGGTCTTACACTAAAGCATTAACGTTGGGAAACTATTATTTCAACACACCACAGAGGAAATTGTTGAAGGTGGTAGGATGTACACATTAAACACCACTGATGGAATGGTCGGGATCTATTATCTCAACCATACCCACGAAACCCTGATAGACTATCAAAAGGAAGCAATATAAAATATATGTGTGCCAAAAGAGAACATTGCACGTCTGAATGAATTTGATTGAACACTGATGCGTACACTAGGAATTAGTACTAATGAAGGTTTCATTGTTTTGATGTGCGTTTGTCTATTGTGGTACATGACTGAACTAAGTAGACTTAAAAATAAACGATCTGTCCACAAAACACATTTCCTAAATGTTCATGTTCATCTGAAGTCAAAGGCATGATCGATCCCTACGTTAAACCATTCTAGTGCAGTATCCAGAACACAGTCTGTTAAAAATGTAATTACTCAACTTCGCCAGCAATCTTACATGCTACTTCACAACTACATCACACTCCGTCCCTTTAGAAACAGTCCGCTAAGCACAAGAAATTTCGGAATGTCCAGAAACTAATTCAAACAGAGGGTTCTGCGTTTTTTCGACCTAAGTATTCAGCCTCCTCGATAACTGAAAGTGGTGTACCTGATCCATACTTGTGCATAAATGTCGTTAAAGGAATTATGGTAAAGCGTAAACTTCAGGAACTATCTGTAGGTCGGAATATTCTGTTCGTTTGGCGCTTTTGATCTTTCTTTACAATAAGGCCATCCATACTAGATCTCTCTTTGAAATTTAGAAATAAAATTGACTTTATTCCACCTTTCAACAAATATAGTGTGTAGTATAAAGCTTAGACAAATCAGTGTTGAAGGATAAGGTCCGGTGCATCGTCCTCTGAACAACGGATAATCGCTTATTTTGAGACTTCGCTTAGCATTCAAAAGTTTTAAGTTAAGGTTCATAATATTCAATACAAATATGATTGTAACAGAAAGAGAACAATCAAAATCCCTCCGCAGATTTTCCGTTGAACAATGCTGTCATTTATTTGTTTCTTCTCCCTGTCGTGTATTCTAACCTTTGTTCAGATCTCGTCTAACCACACCTTTTGTTCTTCAGCCTTCCTCTCTGAGCATTTATTATGTGATTTTGATCGAAGACTTATCCTTTGTTACCTACATTTCTATTGCATGTTACCGGACTATTGACAGTAAAGTCGTGTTTGACTAGGTTCAAGGTCACGGCATAGTTCAGTGTGTGTCTGCTAACCTTTTAACTGTCTGCTTGGAAGGATTGATGGAATCCCTGCAGATAAATATTTGGTACCATCTTGTTGGGAATACTTTTATTGATTCTCAGGTGTCGGACCCTTTAGTATTAACTGTTTATTTTACTGTTTAGCGTGCTACTTTGCGCTAGAGAAACTTCTGACTGTATCGAACAGGATGTACCGTTTGAGGTATTTTGTATTTTTGATATAATTTGTTCTATCTCCCAAATTAGAGCTGTTTAAATTGAGCACAGAGCTCGTGTTTTGATATAATTTAATACACAAGGACGTAGTCTGGCCTATTCGAGTACATTTTGATTCGTCAGTTCTGCGTTCAGACCGAATACAAGTAGTTCGGTCGTTACAGTCATTTTAGAACCGAAACAAAGTGATTTGGTAAAATGACGGTCTTGGAATTCATTATAAGTCTAAATGTACACTATTACGTGAACAAATATGACTACCCATCTATTCAACCAATAATTGTTCAATTAATCTAATCCAAACTTCATTAAATAAGGAAGTTGATAAAGGATGCGAGAAAATTGCCAATCGCAACAAATAAATGTTATTCTATCCTGCCTGGATAGATCACGCACGGACTCGTCCGAAAAAATAATATTTGGTTGCTTCATAACACTGAGTGTTTCCAGTTCTAGAAGAGTGCTTCAATTCACAATCAAAACTGCACTATTCTAGTCAATACAAGCAACACAATCAAAAGGAAGAGCAAACCAATATGGTTGTCGCCAAGACTAAGTGTCAAGTAAAACAACATAAATGCAGCTCAGGAAGGAACATGGAAACTTGGCGAAGGCCTAAGAAAAAAATATAATACAATACAAATATTACTAACTCAAATGGAATCGGAAAGACTAACGAAATGTACAACTAAAAGAATTAATAGGAACAAACTGCAAGTGCATACATGGTGGGATTTTCACACACAAAACATTGAAAATGGATCTTACATGTCACTTTCCGGAGACATCAGCACATAAAATTAAACTTTCCAGATAGTTGCAGAGGGTATGTAGTGCAACTAGTTTTCAGCCACATGATTCCTGAAGCCGAACATCTGATAACTGAGAAAATTCACATTTCACATTTGACACGAGATGGTAAGAAACAGTGAACGCGTTGAAAAGTAGATCGGTGTGGCATGGCTCAGCCTTGCAGGCGTAGTCATTACGTGTAACTCATTACTATTCAAGTCAAATATATTATTCGACCCAAGTGTAGTCTTTAGAAGTGCGAAAAATCATACTGCCGATTGTCTTGACTGGATACGTTAGTATAGACAGAATTCAACGTAGGATCTTATAGATAAGGTAGTCACATCATGACGAATCTACAGTGCTGGGATGCAGTCAATTAATATTGTAGCAAAGATAAGTGTAGTAATACCGAACTAGACTGTAATTCTACAAATATACGTCAAAGAATTCACAACCAAGAAGCTTAATTTCTCCAAAACAGAAACGTGTTAGGGCCATTGAGAAATGTCCTAGTTCTAATATTTGCAAGACTAAAAGCCTAGTAGACTATGTGCGTTCTTCGTGCCGAATATGCGTAATTACGTAATTTGATGTACTACGATAGTATAGGCTTGTTGGTCAGCCCAAAGTGCTTAGTAGCTGGCTTTGTTAGAACGAAACCATCATGAGCTATTTTTTTTATCTATCGGCAAGTAGTGGTACTGGTTCGAGGCGGAACATATAATTACTGAGGGGCTTGACATTCACCATGTAACCATTGGAGGAGGTTTGTAGTGGCGAATGCGGGGACATTACTTTTAAATGATCTAAGAACAAAAATGCCTTTCGAGAGCCATTCAGTTACGATGCTGAAGCGCATTTTCGGTGAATTTGACATATGAACATTCCACCTGATCTTTGATGGTCTGACTCAGTCCCATGTGCAGTGTGGAAATACAGTGTTTCTTCCCTCACACCAAGAGGATATTAATACACCGGAAAGTATCCGAAGGCGGGTCACGAAATCATTTCGGGGACACTAATCCAACATTTGTAAGAAGTGCCTAAAACCGATGGATCCCCACTCATTATAGAAGTTTCAGAGGTAACCTTTTAGTGAATAATAACACCCTAAAAACCCCTAGGGAACCGCTGAAATACTTACTTACGGTCAATCGCAACACAACCTGGGGCCCATAGTCAGAAATCAGGGACAAAATATTGGCAGGGTAGACTGTAGGGGCATCTTATGGTTCTTAACAGAAGTAAATACCTTCAATTTCTGACGGCAGTATTTAAAGCAACTTCCCAGGGGTCCTTAAAGAAGAGGTCTCGTGTTGCATCATGATTGTAATTGGTAATTTAATTTGCTGATATTTCCTTTGTGATAGTTAAATATACCTTGAAATCCTACCTGAAGGCATCGTCGGTCTACTGCTATTACATATGGAAGTCCATTGACCGAAAGTCCCTACCCTAACGTCCACAGCCATAAGAACCATTTGAAATATTTGTACTTTCGTGCACGTTATGTTAAACCGCATATGATTATAAGTAGCTACACTATACTACATAAGTTCAATATTACATATATGAGTGGCCTTTAGTAAGAGGGACTTTGATTTATCAAGGTCATTCTACGAAGAGCGCGTTATGTGTTGTCGCTGAGTCTGTGGAGGGTTCGCCGTGTATTGTCGTATACCTATTAACTCTTAGAAGCACTAAAGAGCTCCAAAACACTCGTTTTAATCTCCAATGACTAAAAGCGCTGAGGGATTGGTATCAGTCGTTCTTGGTGCTCAGTGGGGAGATGAAGGGAAAGGGAAGTTGGTGGACCTTTTGAGTGAGTCCTCCGGTGTGGTCTGTAGGTGTCAAGGAGGAAACAATGCAGGTTGGTTAAAGTTCCTTCAAAAGATTTTTAGGCCATACCGTTGTTGCTGGAGGACAAGAGTATTTCTTTCATCTATTGCCCAGTGGTATAGTAAACCCTAATGTTTTAGCTGTGATTGGCAACGGTGTTGTTGTCAATTTGCAAGCCCTTTTCCAAGTGAGACTCTGTTTAGTATTATTTTTGTCATTTCAAGGAGATAGATGAGGCTGTGAGCAAAGGGTTATTGGATGTAGCTTCTCGTTTACGGATATCTGACAGGTGCCACTTGGTATTTGACATCCACCAAGAGATCGACCGCATGGAGGTAATGGAATCGTGTTTCATTAATGTGTTTGGTAGGAGGAATTACGGGGTGTAAATTCTCTTGGCACGACTAAAAAAGGTATTGGTCCGACGTATTCTTCAAAAGTAACTCGCAATGGTCTGCGTGTATGTGATCTCATGGGAGACTGGGTACAGTTCACAGCAAAATACAGAGAACTAGTAAATTATGTTAAAAGAAGATATCCAAAACTTGAGACTAGTGTTGAACAATCTTTAGAGGTTAGTGTGTATTTGAAGTTCCCACTTCCGTAATTTTGTGACTGTTTAATTATTCGAGTGACTATCACTTCAAGTACAGTATTTCATTGGGAAAATTCTGTTAGATTTGAGTTAATTTTTCACTAACTTGCAATAAAGGTCCTCGTGAACGTGAAATGCTGTGAAGCAGTTTTAAAGGTGTGAGCAATTAACACTAGCTGGCCATATTAAGGAATAATATTTCTTCTTGCGGAACCTAAACATGAGACCGGGGATGGTTGGAGGAGCAGCTCCCTGAGTGTGTGGAGCATTTTCTTCTTCGTAACCGGAGTGTAGCAGCATCACCCGTGTTTAGCCTTTGTTGTCCAGCTTAGGTCCAATGGGTTTCGCTGATTCCCAGTACTGCCAAATTGTATCTCCTCATTTCCGTTGCTATTTGACTGGTCTTTCCGGTCTTCCACATTGTTCGGACGATCCATGTACCTTTAAAGATTGTTGCTCTGGTTGTTAGAAGGGGCATCGGCCTTGTGGCTTCCGAAGGAACTCGGCTTTCACCCTGAAGCGTCATAGTTCTTCTAAATGAAGACCTTCTAACTCCCAGGGCAGAGTTTAGATGGTTTGAATTATTTTTTCTGGTTAGCGTTTTCCTGGCGAGTTAGTTTTCTACGGGATGGGGTCGCTAACCCCATGCCCAACCCTCCTCCTTTACCCGGGTTTGGGACCGGCAGTAGCTCTAGAAGAGCTACAGGCGGAGTCATCAAACAGGTTACTGAGTAATAATTCGTTAATATTTGTCTTTTTAACTTCTTAGGAAACAGATCGATAAGGAACTGTTTAAATTATTCACTTCACGATCTCAGTACTGAAGGCACCAGTAATATATGGATATATACAATTTTCATATAAATATATTTTATTTTAGCAACTGAAAACCTATCGACAGAAGTTGTCGGGGATGGTGTGTGATTCGGTCACACTGATTAATAAACTTGTGGAAAGTAAGCAGGCAAATATTTTGGTGGAGGGCGCTCAATCCTGCATGCTGGACATTGATTTTGGAACATATCCTCATGTCACCTCTTCGAATTGTAGTGTTGGAGGTGTATGTACTGGCCTGGGGCTTTCTCCTTCTCGTGTTGGTCCTGTATATGGTGTTATCAAAGGTAAAATTGCTTGTTTTTCTCCTGTATTTATTTTCAAGTCGCATTCGTTTCATATATTTCATTGTAATTGTTTTTTTCGCTGTCTTCTGTTTGACAGCAACCTTACTCTGACACAACTATCTGTGAATTCTGTTAGTTTTTTCATCGTCGAAGCTGTGTATCAATAGTTAAAGCGTTCGACTAATTCACTAATTTACGGGTTAGCACCCTTCACCACCTACTTCGACTTTGGCTACTGGGCAGTATTATTGACCCTCACACGTGTCCGGACTTGATGAATAAGTCAGTTACAGAGGTCACTGAAACACTGGTTCTCACATCAACTAACCCACTCCATCTGTTTTTCTTTATTTGATAAAGAGATTTGGATTCGTTTATCCGAGTTTCTGAATTGAAAAAGGATGGTGCGCAAGTGTATTTATTTAACTAAAGCCTGTCTTGTTAGATTTGTCATGTGAAGGTATTTGTTGAGTTTTTATCTGGGAGTGTTAAAATAGGTATCCTATAAGGATATCAACTGTTCAGCTCCATCAAACACATGTTAACAGAAGTAACCATTTATCCTCGAGTTTTCAGGAATTATTCTCCTAACTAGAGGTTAGCTATTTTACTTATAGTATACGGATGACATATGGCTGTTTAGTGAAAACTGACAAAATAGGGTATTCTCTGCATTCCATAAACAAATACTTTTGGAGCCTTCCGAATACAAGATAATGCTTTAATACTGACCACACTCTGTGTGAAGAGCTTCGTTTCTACTATATACTAGTCTTTAACAGTGTTCGTCTGTATGTAAATGTAGCTCGATAAGGTAATCACTTTAATGAAGTCAGACCACAACCTCTAATTAGCCCTGATGCTGCTTCCTATAGCCTCGCTGGCGTAGCTATAACATTGAATCTTAGGGAAGAACTGGATCCCATTAGACAGTCGTTTGTGCGCTGTCTGACTTAACGGAACAGCAATGACTTGGAAAGATGGGGACACTCGTTGTTGCCTCTTCGTCGTCTCTACCTACTCTCCCACTGACTGCAGCTCAGACGATGTAAAGGATGAGTTTCACGTAAAGCTTTCTGACCTCCCCCAAAAAGTTAGGCGGTCTGATGTAGTAATGGTGGCTTGTGACTTTAATGCTCAAGTAGGTAAACTAAGCGAAAAGGAAAGACACCTGGGTGGATCTTACGGAGTCGTGGCTCAAAGAACAGATAATGGCGACCGTCTGTTGCAGCTATGCTCAGATAACCGCCTGTTCCTTGCAAATACTAACTTTAAGCATAAGGTAAAACATCTTTTAACATGGAGACCCCCTAATTCGTCCCAACGTTGGACCCAAATAGATCACATCGCTATCAACCACCGATGGAGGGGCTCGATAGAAGACTGTCGCTCATTCTGGAGCACATGCCTAGATTCAGATCGTGCTCTAGTACGAGCGCGTATTTGCCTGCGTCTTACTGGACGTAAGAAAGACGCTTCAAGAAAACCTCTTAGGGTCCTGTTTAATGATAGTCAAACTAAGAGTACATTTCAGGAATAACTAGAAAAACAGTTAGGCAGCCATGTAAGTGATGCCCACCCCGAGACAGCATGGAATGATATCCGAAAAGCTGTGGAAACAGCAGTGATATCTGCTAGTAGGGTAAACCACAAAGTTAGGGAGAAACACTGAATCTCAGCAGCATCTATCGCACTGATAGATGCTCGGAAACTCATTCCACCTGGCTCTGAACATAATGAGGAGCGGAGTCAGCTTAAGCGCAAGCTGACAAGAAGTCTACGCAATGATCGCGAACAGTGTTGGGTTGCGAAAGCAAGAGAGATGGAACAGGCAGTGGCAATAGGTAACAACAGACAACTGTTCAGACTTGTTGATGAAACCGGTATTAGGAACCCAACTGTTAGCGAAACTATCTCGGAAAAAGATGGACATATTATTCATCCTCAATCCAGGGGATCGGATCTATGGACAGAACAATTTAGGGATCAGTTCAACTGGCCTTCAGCCACACTTTGGTTTCCCACGATCTCCAGTCGACCTGAATGGCAAGTTAATGTAAGTTCTCCAGGGAATTCACTTGTTGACTTAGAATATGCCGATGACATAGTTCTATTTTATGAAGACGCTGACAAAATGCATAGTCTTTTGTCCACCGTAAGCAACACTGCAAGCATGTTCGGGATGTGATCCTCCCCCTCGAAATGCAAAATGTTGCTTCAGGATTGGGTTGCATCGACACCCGAACTAATGATAGGGAGTGAAGTAATTGAGTGTTTTGACCGATTCACTTACCTTGGGAGTCTCATCAGCCCTTGTGGTCTTGTGTGTGACGAAATCTCAGCACGGATACAGAAGGCTCGACTAACTTCTGCCGACTTGCTTCATTTATGGCGTATGCGCGATATCCGTCTATCAACCAAAGGACGTGTTTACTGCGCGGCAGTTCGTTCTGTTTTACTTTACGGCAGCGAAACATGGCCATTAAGAATTGAAGATACTCGTAAGTTACTGGTATTTGATCACAGATGTCTTTGAAATATTACTTGCATCTGCTGGCATCACCGGGTGAGTAATAGTGAGGTTAGACGCAGGGTATTAGGGGACGATGGTAAATCAGTTAATGAGGTTGTGAATCTTCGTCGACTGAGATGGTTGGGCCATGTGTTACGTATGCCTGAACACCGATTACCAATACGCCTAATGCTGACTAATGTTGGAGATGGTTGGAAGAAAGTTAGGGGCGGCCAAACCAAAACGTGGCATCAGTGCTTGAAGACACTAACTTCTAGTCTGAGCCATGTTGGTAGATGCAGAATACTTGGTTGGGGCCCGCGTGACTTTCGTAACCAATGGTTGGAGACTCTTGGTGACATGACTCAGAATCGATCACAATGGCGTCGGTGTATACACTCCCTGTCTTCCCTTAAACTGTGGGATTAAAATCGCTTCATATCTTTCTTTCTTGGAACTAATTCTTTCTTCCTGTACTATGTCCTTTTATGCAATCTTTCTTCTATGTATTGCCACCACTGAATTAACTACTTCTATGAATCCAGTGTTCATCTTGTTGTGTTAATGCGGTATGACAACTTGGACCGATGCACATATGTGCCTGGTCCTACATTGTAGATGACTGACTGACTGAGTTCATTCCGTCCTAGTTTACGGCAGTGAAACATGGTCGGTAAGAGTAGAGGATATTCGTAGGTTACTAGTATTTGATCATAGGTGTTTTCGAAACATTGTTCGTATATCCTGGGACCATCGAGTAAGTAACGCAGTTGTTAGGGACCGGTTACTAGGTAAGGATGGCAAATCAATTGATGAAGTAGTGAAACTTCATCATTTGAGATGGCTGGGATACGTGTTACATATGCCCAACCACCGACTGCCTCGACGTGCGATTTTTTACGGTGTGGGAGTAGGTTGGAAGAGAGCTAGTGGCGGCCAGACCAGAACATGGCACAAATCCATGAAGTCACTGAAAAGTGGACTGAGCTATGTTGATAGGTGTAGACTAGCTGGTTGGGGACCGTGAGACGATAGCAACCGATGGTTAGAGACCTTGAATGACATGGCTCAAAATCGTTTGCAATGGCGCAGGTGCATATACTCTTTGTGTTCTCCCAAATTCTAATCTTCTAAATTCTCTTTGTCTCTTTTTCTCTTTCCAAATTTATTTCACTGTGTTGTACTCCTTGAATAACATCTTCAAACCCTAGGCTTTCCGATTACTGCTTATACTCTTACTACCTCTACCACCACGGGATTTGAATCGACAACTGCATCTCTGTGCTAATGTGGTATGGCAACTCTAACTGATGTACGTACGAACGAAGTTCTACGTTGTTAATGACTGACTAATTAGCATCTACGGTTGGATATTGAATCTGATGGTTTACAAATATTATATTTAACTGGGACGTTTTAATGTAAGAGGAGAAGTTAGCTGGTAAGGCAACTTTCACTGAATTCACTCTGAACTCTTGTGCTTAAGATTACTTACTGGAGATAGTAATATAGTAATTTACAAGCTGTTAAAAACTGTACCCTAATGGCTAATAAACTCTGCTTTAAAAGAGCACATATATGATTGAGGCGTCCAAAAATGGAGATTTTCACGTTTTGAAAACGGTATATTAAATTTCTTTTCGTGAGCATTGAGAGAAAGAGAGAGATCAGACTCCACCCTCATCTGTATTCGGGCTTATAGATGCTGTTTATGATGCCTGAATGTCCGGTGGGTTCCGTGGGGTTTGTCTACTTAATAGTTCTTCATAGTGTTCTACTTACCGGTTCCTCCGTTCTTGAATCTCAGCGATCATCTAGCTTCTTAGTTGTATCTTGTAGTTGTCTTGTCCTTCTCTTGTAGCTTTTCCCTGTCATTGTTAAGTGTTCTACGTCTTTCTGCTTGTAGGCTTTAATGCTCCACTTCACTCACTTGTTTGCTTCTGTTTATTATTTATTTATTTATTTATTTATTTATTTATTTTAACACAGATATTGGTACAAAGAGGCACCAAATACATATGCGCCACACAAATCACATTCGATATGTGTGAGGGCTGTGATACTGCCCGGGTGCCCAAACCGAAGCAGGTGGTTTTCTTAGGAGGCCACTCCCCGAGCCTTCGACCTGAAGGTCTGATCCACAAGACAGTGGAGCATCTTAAGGAGATGCAGTCCCATGGAAGCCGGTGACCAACAATTAGCTCATACGCCATTTGTTTTTCTAGGATGCTGGAGCCCATGTGCACCATTGGTTTGGAATCCGGTTAAAGCGCCGGACATGCGCATTTTGTCCTCTCAATTTCGTAAACAACACCGCCACGACAAGGCAGTGAGAGCGGACTCTCCCCACCCTCGGCCGTACCAGGGCATTTGGGGGCGTTTGCTTCTGTGCATTTAGTCTGTGCCCTGGCTCTCTCTGCTCTTGTTCAACTGTTGTTAACTGTTGTCTTCTTTCTCTTCCTTTGTTGAACCTTGGTCAGGATTTCTATAGGGATCCATTTTTAGTGATTATGCTTGTTGCGGCCCATCACCTGACACGTTGAAGCTAGTGCTTGTTTTATCCCTTTCCAGTTGTCCTCCATAGTAGTTTCTCCTTCCAGTAGATCTTGTAAGGCTTGTGACCAGATTACAGCCGCAACTCACCCGTATCTAGCCTTTGCTGTCCGACTTGGGTCCAGTGGGTTTCACCGATTCGGAGCACCGACAAGTTGTATCACCTGATTTCCTCAGCTATTTGATTGGTCTTCCCGGTCTCATATACTGTCCGAACATTCCATGTACTAATATTAATTATTGCTCTGGTTGTTAGAAGAGTAATCGGCCTCGTGATTTTCAAAGAACCTTGGGTTTCCTCATAAGGCGTCATAATCCTTTTAAATGAAGGTTTTTCAATTCTGAGGACAGAGTTTAAGTGGCTTAAATTGTTTATTCTGGTTAGCGTTTTTTAGTAAGGTTGTTTTCTACGGGATAGGGTTACTGACCCCATACCCACTCAGTCCCTTTATCTGGGCTTGGGACCTGCGGTAACCCTAGGAGCGCTACAGGCGGGTTTATCAGGTCCATGGCATATATTAAAAAACTGAAAATGTACAATATTGATTTATATTTATGTACTGAAGTTATTATTAACTGTTTTGTTTGTTTATATCCAGAACTTATCACTTTTATGAACTCACAGTGTTTATTCTTTTCATTACTTTATCAGCTTATACAACACGGGTCGGCTCTGGTACTTTTCCCACTGAGTTATTAGATGGGATTGGTGAGTTCATTCAAAAGAAAGGATGTGAATGGGGTGTGACCACTAAACGTAAACGACGGATCGGTTGGTTAGATACAGTAGTTATACGATATGCACATATTATCAATGATTTCAACGCCCTGGCTTTGACGAAGATTGACGTCTTGGATGACCTAGAAGAGGTAGTTAACTTTACATTAGTGAATTAACATTATCGTTATTTAATTATTTTTCCATTCATTACCGAGTACTAGTACAATTAGGCATCAAAATAAGAATATGCGCCACATAAATAAGGAAACAATTTTCCAAAGAAATAGATGTAGGGGGAGTATAAAACCAAAAACATAGTAAAGAAATAAAAAGAGGTGAACGAGGGTAGTAAGTCGAGTGAGAGCTTATGGCGATCTGTCATCTGACTTTGCAACCTCAAGTGGTGTCCATCAAGGCTGTGGTGGAATGGTGAGATTGGACAATCCTGCCTGACCCCACTGCTTGAACATAACAGTGAAGAGAGGTGGTTGTATGCCCTGCCGCTACCTGAGGTGTTAGTATATAGAGCTTTCAAGATGTTAATAAACTTGTCAGACACCGTTCTTCAATAGACAATCCTAGAGAACAGTCCTGTCCAACGAATCAAAGGCGACCTCGATATTAAGAAACAATGATTGTTGGCCTGAGAAATGTGTAGTGGTGCTCTAACATTTGGCGAAGGATGAAGATATGAACAATACATTCTCGACCAAAACGGAAGCTGACCATTTAATCGCTAGTCAGGCTTTCATAGGTTTTGGATGATCTTCGGAATATAACGAAAACGAATAATTTGGATGATATCGGAAGTAAATATATCTCTGACATTTGTTGCACAGGTGACGTAGATTCATATCAGAGATGGGGATGACGGTTATTTAGTTCTAGGATGTTAGAGTACTTTCTAATTCCCAGACCTTACAATACAATCCAGTCAGTTGCGTGAACAGAAGTTCGTCACCGTTCCCACAAAGGTCCAGGGATAAGTCTTATGACCATAGTGGTTTGTGGTGCTCGTTAAGTAGGAGTTATTTGAGGACCTCTTCATTAGGTGTACCATTCATCATTTGCCAGAGAGAACAGGGCAGTCCGATCAATATTGCGAGGACGACAGGTCTTCTAAATTGTCCCCCAAACAACTCTGTCCATCGTACAAGGCGTCATGAGATGTTACTAATTGACGTTCTATCAAATTCACAAATAATAAGTGTCATTACCAAGGTTTGAATTGATAATTAAAAAAAATTAAGAATTGGGTAGGTTGTTGTAAATACGACTAATATATTTGTAATATCCAGATGAGTAGAAAAACAAAGTTTTCAAATTTTCTGTTGTTTCGTGACTCAGTTTGAGCCACTTCTTTAGATTTGTTGGCTCAATTAGAAATATCACTGGAAATGGCAGAAAAGTGATTTCATTTAATGTCACTTCTCACTCACGGAAACTATGTCTTTATGTGACTATATTGAAAGTAACAACTTTGATATTTGTATCCTAAAACATCTAAAAGAGATATTTCTATAATGTACTGCCAATGTGCCATTCAGATTTAATAATGATTTCTGTGGACAAACCCCGACCGTAGCTTCTACCTTGGCACGGTTGTCGGGCTTGTCTATTGTGGTGACCTAACCGAGCTATATTGACTGAAACATATGTTCTTGTAGGTTCTACCATGCCAGGCAGGTCGACTGGAGAACGGTAAGACTAAAAGCAGCAACTCAAGGTCTAAGGGCGAAGTCGTACTACTGACTGTAGAGGGTTGTGACGGCAGTAAGGTGTACCCCTCGGACAACCAGCATCTGCTGCGATGCTGGCAGTGAAACATGGCTGGTAAGAGTAGAGAATATTCGTAGGTTACTAGTATTTGATCATAGGTGTCTTCGAAACATTGTTCGTATATCCTGGGACCATCGAGTAAGTAACGCAGTTGTTAGGGACCGGTTACTAGGTAAGGATGGCAAATCAATTGATGAAGTAGTGAAACTTCATCATTTGAGATGGCTGGGATACGTGTTACATATGCCCAACCACCGACTGCCTCGACGTGCGATTTTTTACGGTGTGGGAGTAGGTTGGAAGAGAGCTAGTGGCGGCCAGACCAGAACATGGCACAAATCCATGAAGTCACTGAAAAGTGGACTGAGCTATGTTGATAGGTGTAGACTAGCTGGTTGGGGACCGTGAGACGATAGCAACCGATGGTTAGAGACCTTGAATGACATGGCTCAAAATCGTTTGCAATGGCGCAGGTGCATATACTCTTTGTGTTCTCCCAAATTCTAATCTTCTAAATTCTCTTTGTCTCTTTTTCTCTTTCCAAATTTATTTCACTGTGTTGTACTCCTTGAATAACATCTTCAAACCCTAGGCTTTCCGATTACTGCTTATACTCTTACTACCTCTACCACCACGGGATTTGAATCGACAACTGCATCTCTGTGCTAATGTGGTATGGCAACTCTAACTGATGTACGTACGAACGAAGTTCTACGTTGTTAATGACTGACTGAAATAAACTGATTGATTTGCAATGAGTTCATCCCTGGACCCCATCTTGGCTGATTATTTTATGGCCAATTTAGAGAATACCTTAACATCATGCCAGCCTAAATAAATTTATTTTCAAATGGGAATTACATGTGGTGTTCTGAAAATTTATTTGGATGATACCTCTTCATCGAATAATTTCATACGTATGTCAACATTAATGTTAACATCATTACAAAAAGCCTTAACTACCTGAAATCAGTCGGAGTGATTTATACAACTCTTCTAAAGAAAATATCTATGGTAAGTTTGGAAAATTCCTTAAGTTTCGAATTATTTTCCTCTTGGCAGTTATAAATTTAGCTGATAATTAGCACTTTTCATTCGAATAAAACCTACTTCCAAATAAAAGTTAGGAGATTCCCCTGGAAATATGTCAACTGTTAAGGAATTGATCAATCCGTATAATAAAATGATATCAAATCTTAGCTTTTCAATTGCTGGTGTATGGTCATTTCTTATGCATAGTCATTTACCAGAATAAAACTTCAATGTTTTGGGTGGTTTGAGGTAGTCGTCAGAAAGCCATGGACCTAGGTTTTGTGCTAGTCGACACATGTCAATAAAGCGTACGTGGAATTTTGAAGGAACCGATGAGCTTTGTGGGATTAAAAACCTGAATCACCTACCTTCACAATTTAAGACGTTACTACTGAGTTATTCCGGCTTGAACTAGCTTCCTTTGTTATGATATCTCTATCTCTGTGTATTATTAATCAAACTGAGAAATTCTGATTTTAATACTTTATGTTGATACATGTGTGAACCTACGTTTGGAGAAAAAGTGCATAAAAAAATAAATAGAAGAACGTGTGAAAACGAAACGTGCTTGAAAATGTAGTGTTACTTTTTTCATACATCTGGAAAATGTCTTAATAAAAGGATTTTATTCTATTCTATAAATCTTGTTTAATTTTTAAATTGCCTCGTAGACAATCTGCTTAACATTTTTTTCATTTATCATTCATATTAAAGGTGAAAATAGCTAAAGCGTACGTTGATCCAGAAACTGGATGTGAACTTGACAGCTTTCCATCTGACTCTTCTGTTCTCAATCGTGTAGTTGTGGTTTATGAAACTCTTCCTGGATGGAAAACGTCTACACATGGTTGTCGTGTTTATGAGAAACTACCAACTGCTGCCAAAGTTTTTGTAGAAACAGTTGAGAAATTGCTTAATATACCTATACGTTGGATTGGAACAGGCGCTTCTCGTGACTCCATTATAATTAGGTCTGTTTAATGTCAAAATTTTAAAACTGTAAAATAGTTAACTCGTAGATTCAGCTTGATTAAATAAATTAGGTGTAGAACTTTTATGTTTTCCCATTTCTACAACATAAACCCAATTTTTCTACAGAAATTATCTTACTTTTACCCGTTATACTTGACTACATTACACTCACCACGTCAACTTAGTTTGGTCATGTTTTCTGATTTAATTTTAACTTTCAGATTTTCATTTGTCATAAAGATTATTATCATTTATTTAATCATCCTCTAAATTTTTGATACTTCCCAGTTTTTTTTAATTATTTTTTTTTGTTTTGATTTGTGAAATCTCATTGTCACTTTAAAAGTAATTCCTTTGAGATTGTTGTTAGATGCAATAATTAGTGTTTTATTAGTTAAATTAATGACTTTTTTCATTAGACCGGTTAGTTTACATATTTATATACATGTTTTTTTGTTGGAGCTGTAAATTGTCGCTCCATGTAATTGAATGTCAACTGTTTGAAATAATCCGATGCTGTTCTACTTACATTAGTTTGAGAAACTATATAGTGTTCTTAACCTCGTAATATACGTTTAAGTCATTTTCCAACATTTTAGATTGGATAATATCTGATTTACTCATATTGTATATTGGTTAACTTTACCAAAGAAAAAATAATTGTAGTATTTATTAAGATGGCACTAGTTTTGTTTCAACATTACTTATCTGTTGGAGGTTAGCATGAAATTTTAAGAACGTTTAATCATGACAGTAGCTGATTTGTAACTTCTTTAGACTTCATAATAATCAGTTTTAGGATCATACAGGCCTCCTTTTTAGAAATAAACACGCTTCCACATGACCATCGAATACATTAGTTAGGATTTTGTATTCATGTGCTCATTATAGTAACATTTTATAACTACCTCGGTCAGCACCTTGTATCTTGTTTCTCATTCGTTTGGCTTGTACAACAAATTCAATCAGCTTAGTTGGTTCTTGATGTCCTGTGCTGAGAATTCTATATTGTACCAAAATATAATATTGAATAAAGCCATTAATTAATAATAATAATTAAGTTGCTCATTCTACATAGGATTCTTATTCATCTGAATTTAGCAGTTCAGTCGTTACTGCACATGTGATGACTCCTTCGTAGTAATCTTTGATCAAATACTTTTAGTCTCAAGTCGTTTAGGTTTAGTAAATATGTCACAGCTGCAATTTGTCCATAAGGAAATCACAAGTAATCTTGACATTTGGTTGCTAATATTTGTCACGGTTTTCCGGGCTGATTTGAAGCTACTATATGAAACATTCGGCATGGTCTTGAGAATTCATAACTACATCGTCTGAGACGAAAATATACAAAACCAAATATTCTCATTTGTCGCATGTAAGGTAGTGTTTTAGAATTATTTTGTTCCAAAACAAATCGATTGGTTTGTGATCTAGTTTTTGCTTGTTGCAACAACTCACCACTATTACACTAGAAATATCAATCCACAATCTAATGAATAATGAAAGACGAGTGGAAACAACAGCATGGTGCTAAAGTCAACATGCAATGGCCGTTTTTCGAATTTAGTCTTTATGTATAGCAAAAAACATTTTGGTGTCATTGGTCACCAGATATTGAAGTACGCAGGTGGTGCTGAAATCGCCTTGATTAGTGAGTTTTACTCAAGAGTTTCTCTAAACTCCTTGGTCACCAGGTTAATGCTCACGCGTTCTGATTCCTGATAAATCGAATGTTTCATTTACTTACTGTGTTCATCGACTAACGTGGGATTTAACCTGGCGTTATTCCACTGCCATTTGGATTATATCTTTGATTCAACTGGGATTGATCCACTACGTAGACCATCTACGATTTGGGGAGTATAACTGCAGTCACACAATTGATGGTATCCACCAATAATTTGCCCATTGATAAACATAAAAATAGTAGTCATTCAGTATCATGAACTAACCAAATAGTATTGCGTCGCCCCTCATCTGTTAGTTTGACTGTTGGATTCACTGGATACGATCCTATATAACTAATCTTGGTAACAGATCGTTCCGCTAAATAATCACCGAACAATTTGATCACACATATACTTGTTAAGACATTTTTATATGAAAATTAAAAAGTCAACTAGACAGGTTAAAGGTAAGAAATAATAATAATAAAGTACACAAAAACAATGTGATTATCACTCTGGATAATAAACTAGTATTACCAGGGTAGGCTAAGGGTGAGGAAAAATTGTTTTTGAACGCGTAAACGGGGTTTCGATTTCCGTATAGCCAAGGCTTCAATAAACCTGATAAACTTCGTCTTCTCATTGCATTATCGAAATTTATCAAATGGACTATTTGTTTTAAATAATAATTTATCACTTCAATAGTTGGAATCACAAGTCAATTGAAGCTAGACCACCATGGAAAACCTGAAAGCACTGGGCGACCGTTCCGTCCTAGTATGGGACTACTCAGCAGTGCTCATCCACGACCCCGCCCTCCGCAAGATCCGAACCCAGGACCTATCAGTCTCGCGTGCGAGCGCTCAAACATTAGATCACTGAGTCGTCACTTAACTGTGTTAATGTCTAACTTCAACCAATCCACGAAATTGCGCCTGGACTGATAGGTCCTGGGTTCGAATCTCGCGGGGGGGGCGAGATCGTGGGTGCGCACTGCTGAGGAGTCCCATGCTAGGACGAAAAGGCCGTCCAGTGCTTCCAGGTTTTCCATGGTGGTCTAGCTTCAATTTACTCGTGATTTCAACCATCGAAATTACTAAAATCTCCACAAAACCCTCTTTTGAAAATTTATCATTTCTCTAACTATCTATTCTATTTACATGACACATTTCATTAACAAACATTATTTACAATTATCTAACTAGGAGCAGTAAAATAATGCACTTTTCATTTCCCCGAAAGTATATCTACATTGTACTTGACTCATTAAATATTCGATAGTATAACGATACATATCTACATACTATTACATACAGATACATGTATACGAATATGTATAATAATAATAATCATTGAATTAATATAAACAATTTTTTCAAGCTATATGAAAATAGACAGTAGAATGTATTTATTGACAAGAAACATTACGCAGTTCAGATATTCTCTCAGTTTCAATTAACCTCCTATTTGTGATTATAATTGAACTATATACAAAGTAAAAATGTCAAAAGTGTAAGCATTCGTTATCAGACTTATATTTTCCTCATAATGATCATTATCTTATAGCACATTACTTTCACTTGAGTTTGTATATGTTTAATTTTGTTGAGCTCTTCTATTAATAATGTCATTAGATCATTTACAATTTGTCTATACCTTTTTTATTACTGTTATCATGTCTGCATATGCATATATACTTGGTCATATATTACCTCCTACATACATATTCTTCTTAATAGCTTTAACTTTAGTTGATTAAATCATTTGATGATTCATTAGTCTATTCTTATTCATTTGCATTTCTACTCGTATTTACTTTGGGTGACTTAGTGATTTGCGCTGTACAATAATAAACTGTGGTCAACAATTTGCATTGTTCACTGAAATTTATACATCTTTGGGAGTTATCTAATGATGGTTATCAGGATGAGTGATTTAAGAAGCATATCAATTATCATGAATAAATTTCACTACAATGATAATATTAGAAATAATTTGTTCGAAAGATAACCTATCTATTATTCCTGTAAATAATCTAGATAAGCTGTTTTGATTGACTTCATAGATGTTTGAAGCAAGTAATTTTTTAATGTTTATTCAGTGTTTACTTTTAATTGCTTCATACATAGGTGGATGATCATAATTTCTTTCTCTCTAATTACTATATACTAGTTAGTTTCGGGGATAGCTCTTTGGGAAAGTTCCAATTGGATTAACGGTCATGATTAGGTTAATTTATATTACTAGTTGATAAACAGTGTTACATTCAGATTTCAACTACTTTTAGATGTCTACCGACAAGAGATGGTGGGTTTATAAATGGTTATTCTTTCGATGCATAGAATGAAAATCCTGTAATGAGAAACCGTATTATGTTATGTTTTGTAATGATAATAAATAGTAAATTTCTTAATCCGAAATGTTTGTACATAGTGAATTCAAGTAAGTTATCCATATAATGTTCATGGAATATAAGGGACTGAGTTTTTCTGTGGTTGTATTTGAGACCGACCTGATCCAGCCCCGTTTTCAAATAGACTATTTAAGTAGATAGTTGGATGTCGAATACGTTTACCGATTAGATAAACTTCGAATGAGTGCTAGCAGTAGAACTCAGAATGTGTATTTCGTTTCATCTGAGATTAGTCATTTGGATAAACTTGTTTATGTTTGAGATTATCACCGACTATACCTAGAACTGATAATATATCTATTTAATTGAGCAGAACTTGCATATTGTAACTCAGTAGCCTCATGATTACGAAATAATCTACAGTTAAATATAGATAATGCTTCTGGACTTTAAGGAATGGGCTTTATGTTTGCTTCAGTTATGGTATTAATACGATTACAAGTATTTCTGGCACACTAGTCCCAAGCAGAGCGAAATGCATACTCACAAATTACACTACAAACCTTCGTGTTAAATGTAATTATACTGACTGTTTGTTCAATAATAGAAAATTAAGTAAATGTGTAGACGTTTAACACTACATTTGTTTTTATTAACTTCACATCCAAATAGTATGGCATTTCTTAGTCAATAAATGAATCTCATCTAAGATATTTGAATTATATGGAAACAATTTGGACTAAATTATCATTACATGGTTTCACCAATTTGCCTCTAAAATAGTGAACACTTAACAATGCTTGTCAAAACAGTTGTCAACCAACACCAAGGTCAGAATATTCAATACAAATATCAAAACAGCTCTACTGTATTGAGCGGAAACTTGGAGAACTACGAAAGCCATCATCCAGAAGATACACTTGTTTATTAACAGCTGTCTACGCAAAATACTTTGGATCCGTTGGCCAGACACTATCAGCAACAACCTACCATGGGGGAGAACAAACCAGATCCCAATGGAGGAGGAAATCAGGAAAAAGCGGTGGAGGTGGATAGGACACACATTGAGGAAAGCACCCAACTGCGTCACAAGGCACGCCCTCACACGGAACCCTCAATGCCGAAGGGGGAGAGGAAGACCAAAGAACACATTACGTAGAGAAATGGGGACAGACATGAGAAAAATGAACAAAAATTGGATAGAACTGGAAGGGAAGGCCCAGGAAAGAGTGGGTTGGAGAATGCTGGTCGGTGGCCTATGCTCCATTCGGAGTAACAGGCGAAAGTATATATATATATATTGTAGTGGCTTTGCTTCGTTAATTGATCACCTCGATAACCGTTATAATATAAATCACAACGGTGATTAAAATCAGAAGGTCATGAGAAGCGGCAACTACAGTTTATTAGCGGATAGCGCAGTTCACAAAGCTGTAAGCACATCAGGCGAACTTGGATGTGGAGAGGCGAATAAGTATGTACTAGCAATTACATGAGCAAATTTATAGTCAAATTGCATAAGGGCGCAGCAAGGACTAATAATAGAATTTGAGTACATGTATACATGGGGACGAGGATGAATCATCGAGTGATATTTAAGCAATCAACATTTTAGCTAGTTTCTGTCATGTGATCTAGTGATCATAACAGTGCAAACAAATATGCGAATTGTTAGTTTAGAAATAAATATATATATATAATGGTTAAGCGTTCGCGCGCTAGACTGATAGGTCCTGTGTTCGAATCTCGTTAGGTGGGATCATGGATGCGCACTTCTGAGGAGTTCCACAAGACGGCCGTCCAGTGCTTCCAGGTTTCTTATAGTGGTCTAGCTTCTATTGATTCATGATCTCAACTATTAAAATTACTATTATATATATATATATAGTAGTTATAAAATACGTACTGGTATTTCATTTATCGAAATATTTGGTTTTATATCTTGGTTCATTTAGACTCTTAAGGACACTTGAATGTCACAAAATCCTTATGGG